CCTCCTGGACCTCATTTTCAGAATGGGATCTGTTTCTCAGCTCATATTTTAAATAAGATTTCAAGGTATCTGTAAATGTTCATTCTGAAACTTCACTCTGAATTTCTGCACAACAATAAGAAGGGAAATTATTTTTTGCATTTTACAGTACTACCAGCCTGCAAGTCATCCAGCCTGCAAGTAACTCATTCCATCCCACAAGAGGTAAGACACTGTTTTATTCATTCCTTGTGTATAATAAAGACATATAAAGGATTTGGACTTGTCTAGCAGTTCTACTTTGAAATACATTTTTATGGAAGGGAGTCAGAAGGAGAGAGGGAAATTATGCTGGGAGTTTGTTTGCCATCCAAATAATATGTCTAAGAAGTACAATGTAAGAAATATGACATGTAACTTAGAAGCGGTATGATTATATCAACCCTGCTCTTTGGTAAGATGAAATAAATTGGGTGGACAGAGCACACTGATGCAGTTATGCAGATCTGTTGTTGGTCTTTCTATGCACAGAACACTATGAATTGCATAGTGCTTTGTCTCATGCTGTAGACCTACCATAAGAGACCATCTAAGACACATACTCTTTGCTGCTAACAAGCAGTTTTCTGTCTCTGTTATGTAAAATTCAATTATAATTCCACTGATTTGACTTAAACCCACTTCCAGCTGATGTTTCACATTTAATTGTAGACTGAAGAAAAGTGTGGGATTTTTTTCTCTAAATCTTTGACTTGATAGTATCCAAACTGATCAGGTTACACCAGAAGAAAATATTTGTATATTTTATTCATTAGTGAAAAATGTGTGAGTCAGTCTATCACTTTATCCCATGTTTTCTATTGAAAAACATTTTGTTGAAAAGCATACAAGTCCTGCTGATTATCTTTGAAACGTGATACAGTGTCCTTCTAGTGTTTCAAATTTCCTGGTTTCTAGTAAGTGACTGGAGTCAAGTGAAGACAGATCACAACCAATATTCATTTGAACACCTTCATTAATAAATCTGTCACAATTACTAGACTCAAGCTGTTACTATTCATGCCAGACAGCCTTGGACACTGTACATTAATGTACTTCATCACAGCTCATTCATGCACATACTCCCCAGTAGGAGCAACAACCAGGAGGCCAGCCCTGACAGACCAGCAGCTTCTAGCTGCGTGTTCAAGAAGACCCTCAGGGGCTCCTGGTTTCATCAGGTGATATGTATAATTCTGTAATCTTTACTAGCCTCCTGGTTGTCATCCTAGTTGTACAACTCGTTGTTGATGGTGATGTGTGCTGGTGGGCTTGGGCAGATTCAGCGGGTCTTGGTGTTGTGGATTTGGCAGTTCTTGAGTATTTGGCAGGACCACTAGACTTCAGAGATTACCAGTATTACTCTCACAGTATACACTCTTTTTCTATTCAGCCTGCTCTCTTCTGATGGCTGTTTCTCAATCCATACAGAGGGGTACCTATGCAACCCATTCATATTTCCTCACAAGAAGGGAACTTTTATGACATTGCTAAGGACTTTGTGCTATTAATCCCATGCAAACTCCACATATAAAACTGGAAACCCTTCTTCCCTTCCAAACTCAAAATTGATTGTTGAGTATGTAGGGAGCTCCCATTTAACTACAATTAATTTAATGCTTTGCTCTTGGTTACATAAAATCAGTGCTTAAAGACTTAGCTGAAAATCTAAAATTGCCTTGCCTTCTGAAAATTCCAGTTGTGAGAAATGTATTATCATTTGGGGATTGTAGTACTGGATTTAAAAATCCACTTCATTAAATTAATAAATCTTTATTTTCTTATAAATTATTTTCATGTATATTTACAAGGCATCAAAAAACCATTAAACTGAAACTGTGATAAACATTAAAAAGTTGTATTTTTTCATGCAATTGTGCTACTTATTAGTTATTTCCAATCAGCACTATCAGTCACCAAATGTTTGTGCTGTCAATTTAAGTTCAGGTAGTCACAACACATTATAGTTGAGTGTCAAAAAGAAAAAAAAATCTCTAAAGGTGCAGTATATGTGTCTTAGATTGGCAGGCTAATTCAGAATTAAAATATGCCCAATTGGCTAGATGGTTGGGAAGCATAAGGTTTTTGACTTAAATTTCTTCTTATATGTAAAGTTTCAGTGCCATCTTCCACAGTATGAAAATGTGGGAACCTGTCTCTAAGGCCATTTGCAGAAGAAAACTGGAAACGTGGCATGGAAATACTGCATGCACTGAAGCTGATGCCTTTTTTGGGCATTGGATGATCACTCCCGTCTGTACAAGGACAGGACCAAAGATTTTGCTTTGCAGGGGACTCAGAGAGGCCAGAATTTCTGTTTCACAGAGAGGCAGAGTACAGCTAAGTAGCATCTCCACATGAAACATTTGTTCTTGGGTGTAGTGGATGAATGACACTGTTCACATTGGGTAGCACATTGGATCTCACTGCTCCACTGGAAGAACTGCCTTGATGATTCAGTCCTCCTGCTTCCACGGGGGAGGACAGTCTGAGGAATGCATTGGTGGCTGCTGTGGGAAGTTGTTTCTCCCCAAGCCATGCTCCTGTATGCAGCAGCAGACGGACTGGTTTTCCTGGGTTCTGGTCAACCATAACTGTTTGTGGAACCATCGCTCCTTTGCTGCCACTCACCTGCTCACAGTGTCCACCTCAGGGTGTTGCTTTAGGCAGGTGGACTTTGCCTCTGTCTAGGTGATACAACTGATCATTTCCTGGAGTGATACAACTGATCATTTCCTAGGGAGCAGGAATGGACTAGGAAGGATGGGGAGACACTTCCTAATAATGCTTCAAGACCTAAATTTTCCAGAATATTTTCCAGAAAACCTTAAGAATGAAAGTCAAAATAGAAATATGAACCACCCTTGAAGGTATTTCAATTATGACTTTTGCAATTATGTGAAAGACCCAGAGATGCCTCGAGTTTTGCTATGTGCTTCTGCCCCAGATTATGAGCAGTCATGTGCTTCCTGCCTAAATCCTTTAGGATTTAAACCTAGGATTAAGTGAAGGTGTATATTAATAATTATCTTACTGGCCAGGCAGGAACACCTGAGCCACAAAAGCCTATCATACATGGCAGGTAATAGTGACAAAAATCTGTACTCAGCATTCACTGAATAAGGAAAAAAACCTGTAGGAATAGTGACTGAAGGTTGGAACCACTTCATTTTTGGTAGCTTAATTCTGTAAAAGCTAGACTGCAGGCACAGATCTTTCTTATCCTGTGCATTTTGCAGTAGTTTCTGTACAAGGATTCACCTTCAATAGGAAAAATGGATAGAAGTGTTTTGTTCATCTTTCAGTGGAATTTGTAAGAGATGGTAATAGAAAATAGATGCTGGTAATTAAATAAGGTTCATATGCCTGTCATATAATAGGTCCTCCACCAGCCAGTCTGCCTTAGAAGATGAGGGAAAGGCTAGATCATATCTTTGGAAGAATAAATGTTTTCTGTAAGGAAGATCACAGGTTTGATGCCTGATATTTCCTGGAGTGCTAAATCATATACACTAGGCAGCCTATACAGAACTGCAGAAATAATCTGTACTCCACATTCCCTGTCTGAGGGTATATCAGTTGCTTTCTGCAGGGTTCTGTTTCTCTCCACTGATTATATAAGGGTGCTAAGATGGTAAGCTTAAATTTTTTTTTTTTAAAAAAATCACTTTCAAAAGAACAAACTTCTTGTTCTAAGCGTCTGTCACCTAAATTCTGTCTGTAGTTAATGGAGAACCGTGGATACTGACAGAAAATGATTAAGGGCACCCTGAGAAAGATGTATCAGAAAAGGTGGAGTTAACTCCTGGAGGTGCCTTTTATCTTCAGAAACTCTAGAGACACCTGGACCTCCACATAAAACAGCCAAATTAATAATAATAATAATAAAAAAAACCCACCAACAACACAACCAACCAATAAACAAACAAAAAAAACACCCCAAAGACTTTTTCAAACCAAGGCAAAAAAATCTGGGTAACCCTTGATAAATCAATTTCTTAGGAGACCAAGGAAGGCACCTAGATCAGAAATGCACACTGAGGTAATGCTGAGCACTGTTATAGGAGTTTGAAGATGCTAGGAATGCAAAGATCCTATACCCAACCTGTGGAAAACTGGTGAGGACATATCAACAAGAACTATGTTTAGTTTCTCTGTCTTAGCTTCTCCAATCACATCTCATTTAGTTTCCACGTTCTTGACAAAAAAAGCATTTTCTGTTTTCACCATTTTGAAGTTAGAATAATATTAGCGTGTTCTTTATTGAATTTGATATATACGAACATCTTTGCTTGGCTAGATGCTGAGGACTGCATTTAGTGAAACACCAATGAGACTAGTTTTTTCTCCATTATCAAGTTTTCAGAACCAGGAAATGACTGAATATAACTCTTAAAATGGCAATTAGGGCTCGATTTATGGTACATAAAATATACATAACCTTGTCTTTCAGTGTATGTCTTTCTAAAGTGGAAAAAGTATAAGGGAGAAGCTAGACAAAGTGAACTATTTATAATGCTTGAAGGGTGACTTCCAACAAAGATACAAGCGTACTGCCGGGAACACATGTATAAAGAGATCCTCTATGGAGCCTGTACAGCTTTTACATGTTTAAAGCCAGACTAGTAAGTGAGGGACGGCTCTCTTTTTCATTTTGATAGGTAATTCTGAAAAGGTTGTCTTCATTATGAGGCATGCCATTAGAACTGAAGCTAGTGTTCCTGATTGTTAATAAGACCCTTTTCTGAACTGTATCCTAGAACTAGCAGATGGGAAAAAATATTTTTCTTTATTTTCTAAAGGTAGATCCAGTTAATGTATACCAAAAAATATTTGTACTAACAAACCTGAGGGAGTAGCCTGCCATGGCATGTCAGGGCAAGAATAATTTAAATTGTTATTGACATCAGACTGATCATAATGCAAGCCTCTGATGGGAGAGTTTTAATCCTCTACAGGTGCACCCCAAATAAATTGCATCCATGTCTTCAGACGCTGAGATGGCTGTCTTCGGAGAGGCAGCTGTGTATCTCCGAAAGTCAGAAAAGGAAAGAATTGAGGCGCAGAACAAGCCTTTCGATGCCAAGACAGCTGTGTTTGTGGTGCATCCTAAAGAATCTTTTGTGAAAGGAAAAATCCAGAGCAAGGAATCAGGAAAGGTCACTGTCAAGACTGAAGGTGGAGAGGTGAGGGACAAAACAGGCTAAAAGACACGATTTGAATCCGAGTTTCAGCTCTTAGCAGACATACAGATATCTTTCTATTCTTTGTCAGACCCTGACCATGAAGGAAGATCAGATCTTCCCCATGAACCCTCCCAAGTACGATAAAATCGAGGACATGGCCATGATGACCCACCTCCACGAACCCGCTGTGCTGTACAACCTCAAAGAGCGTTACGCAGCCTGGATGATCTACGTAAGTACCAGCAGCAGTCTTCCCCTGGGCAGCGAGGAGGAACTGCTCTGCCAGGGTAGGTGGAAGCCAACGTGCTGTCTCCCTTCCTCACAGACCTACTCGGGTCTCTTCTGCGTCACTGTCAACCCCTACAAGTGGCTGCCGGTGTACAACCCGGAGGTGGTGTTGGCCTACCGAGGCAAGAAGCGCCAGGAGGTCCCTCCACACATCTTCTCCATCTCTGACAATGCCTATCAGTTCATGCTGACTGGTGAGTGACTGTAACTCCCTTAAGGCAATTATACTATGAATACCTTTCAGGGGAATAACAACTTGTGTCTAAACTTTCAGTTTGGATCATTTCTTTCTAGGATCATTTCCCAGATCACCCATATTAGGTTACTCAAAAGATTCTAGATGTCCCTTTAAACTGAGACTGAAACAATCTGTGCTTAGCTCTAAGGACTATAACAGTAAGTAACATAGAGTGAATCACCCAAGATCTTTTTTCCTCTTCTCATTTAAGTCCCCCAGTGATAACACAGGAGATTAAGCAGCTTAACCATTCCAGTATTTCAGCAGTGCACAGCTGAGCCTTATGATGGAATATTATTTCAGTGGAAAATAAAGCCGTTTTCTCCTTCTTTTGGGCACAGTATGGAAAGATATTAATTCTTAAAGAACAATAAGAAAATAATTAGATTGCTTTAAGCCAAAAATATTGCCTCCTCTTGTAGCGGTGTGTAGCTACCCCAGCATACCAAACATTTGAGGAGTTCCTTAGTGTAGAAGTCGCTGTGGGGTGGATTGCCATGAGTGCAGATCTGCGCAGTTCCAGTTGAAATAATGAAAACTAAAAATGATGAAAGTTTTGACTTGCATGTACCCACCTAGTCATGTGGTAAAATTGGAGCACAGAAGGCTATGTGATGGGAATAATATGCTGCAAACAAGAAGCTGAGCATGTGTAAGGAATAGTGTTGTGGACTTGAGCGAGTAAAGAATAAAGATCAGATATGTCAATATAATAATAGGTGCTGAGTGCTCAGTCAGAGGTTATTCCAAATGCTCGTCAATTGCAAGCAAACTGTGTATTCTAGAGGGAACTGGCCATGAATGATATGGATTTGTGTCTCTCTGGGTTAATGGCTCTAATGAATAGGAACCATTCCCGGGATTATGTTATAAAGTTAGTTTCAATACACCTATGGAATATTTCTCTGGTAAAATGTCTTTTTTAATCTTCTGCAGCCAAGAGTATACATGCCTGAAAGAATAATGCCTAAAGTACAGAAAGGGAGAATATGTTTGAAATGGGCTGATGGTTCCTCTGATGGGCCCAGAAAGAGCTGGGGCAGGGTATTATTTGGAATCTCCCACTTGTCATTGACTCTCTGTGCTGGGGGCACAGCAGATGAGCTTTTATCAGGTGACCTAACATTAATCTGCAATTTTAATTTCATTTTTATATTTAATCCTTTTTTTAATTATTATTATTCTGTAACTTTAAAAACTTACTCAACTCTGAAGATTTGCAAGAAACCTAAGAAAAAACGAAAAGATAAAGTGAAGGTGGTGAAAAATCTACTCTAGAAAACATTCATTCTTCTGTATTTGATAGCAAGATAAATGAACAAGGGAAAGGAAAAATAAAGGAGGAAAAAAAGCTTTGCTGAAAGGCTTCATTTTTTAGAATCCAAAACTTTCCTTAAGGCAGACTTTTACTGAGGGGAGTTACTTAACTGCCAAACAAATGTTTTTGTCACATAACTATCATGATATCTTATTTTTAGACCACTTCTGTTGTTTTCTGTGTTGTTCATTAGCATTAAAGTTGCTTTATTTCTGCTTCTTTCCACAGATCGTGAGAACCAGTCGATCCTGATCACGTATGTAGATCCCTTCTCGGGTCCCTCTGGGGCTGCCCGGTGCTGGGGGACCTCCCACCTGACCACACGCTCTCTGCTTCTCTCTTTGGTTTCACAGCGGAGAATCCGGTGCCGGGAAGACTGTGAACACAAAGCGTGTCATCCAGTACTTTGCAACAATTGCAGCGAGTGGGGAGAAGAAGAAGGAGGAGCAGTCAGGCAAAATCCAGGTGAGATCAGTTACTAACATTTTGTCTGGTTCTGCAGTTGTAATGTGGATTGAACTATGCAGTTTACAGCTAACTATCCTGCAGGGAACGCTTGAGGATCAAATCATCAGCGCTAACCCACTGCTGGAGGCCTTTGGAAATGCCAAGACCGTGAGGAACGACAACTCCTCCCGCTTTGTGAGTTTTCAGTGAAAATAAGCTTCAGTTTACATGTAGGAAGAAGTGCATTGTTATTGATTTCTTCCTGCAGTTCACCAATAAGAAATTTATATTAACGTTTTCTCAAATATTTCCTAATTTTATAGCTCAGTATTGAAACAGAAGATAGAATATACATATAAATCACAGACATAAAACTTAAAATGGAAAGTAAGTATTCATTCAATAAAAATATATCCTGAATTGGTAAACTGGTAAGAATCATATATACATCTCACTGTATCAAATATTCCTCCTTTAGTCCAGCTCTCAGCAGGACTAACTTCAAATCTAGATCAGATTGTTCATGCCCTAATACAGCCAAGTTTTGAAAAGCTCCAAGACTAGAGATTCCACAACTTCTAAGTACCTTTCCTAAAACCAGAATGCACTTATATTAAAAACATTGAACTTCATGTCTAGTTAGAATTTCTCTCACTGCAATGTGTGATGTTGTCATTTGTGCTTTCATAGTAAGCCTCTGAGAAAAGTCTAGCTCTCACTTCTCTGTAACTTCTTTTAGGAAGCAGAGCTTCCTTTCTGTTCTCCAAACTGTGTCTACTTATACTCTCCTTAAAATTGTCATCTCTCTCTTTTTTTTTTTTTTTTTTTTTTTTTTTT